CTACTGGGTTTGCAGATATTACTGGTTCCTTCATTGTTTTCTACCTTAGAGTCAACGACAGGCACATACAGTAACACAAATGCCTGGATTCTTTTTTTTTCTTATTTTTCTCAGTACTTCGATTTGATTTCTGCTTTTTACTTGTGCTGTTATTGTAATAGCTGTTTAATGGATTCCCACTGATGGTCAGGGGTGGACTGAGGATGTCGTGGGGTGCTGGTCAGCAGCAGTTTGACTCTCAATAAGCACGTTGGAGTTTGTAGCTTTATCTGATGACAAGTTTGTACAGAAAAGCCCAAGGGAGAAGCAAAAGTGCCTCTTGCATGAAAAGACGTCATTGGAAATGACTGCTCTCTTGCCATCTTGTCGTGAGTCAATACTATTTCAACATCTCCAATGGCCATTTCCCCTTCCCATTCTCCCTAAAAATACCAAACATAATTAAGTACAGATGGAATGCTGTCATTGATTCTTCAATGTGTTTGTGTAGCTGGGTTTGGTTTTTGTTTTGTTTTCTTTTTAGTATATTTTATGTTAAGATTTAAAAATGAATCTGAATTACAATGTTCCCCTGCTCCACTGTAAATAAAACTTTCCATAATAATAGGTACTCTCCACCTCTCAAAAGTCTTGTTAATCTAAGCAGTTAGGCCAATGGCCACGGATAGGGAGGCATTCAGAAAAGCAAATGCTAAGGTTAACTTTGCACAGGCTATATTAGTTTAAGAGGGGGAAGCTCTGATTAAATTAGTCCCCTGGTAAAATACTAAATGGTAATTGTACATAAGAATGCAAAGCAGGCTACATGAAAGGTTAGTATTAGAAGGGTGAAATGAAGAAAGGGAAAAAAAGGATTTTTAGATGTGGGGGGTAGAGAATAAGCATTTGTAAAGTGCTAGGCACTTTATTAGAAATAATAATAGCTAAAATTTATATAGCACTTAATATGTACAGGCACTGTGCTGTAGGCACAGAGTGTAAAGCATAAGCACTTTACAACTATTGTCTCATTGATCCTCACAACAACCCTGTGAGGTAGGTGCTGCTATTATCCCCATTTTACAGTGGAAGAAACTGAGGCAAACAAAAATTAAGTAACTTGCCCAGGATCGCACAACTACTGAGTGTATGAGGCTAGATTTGATCCTAACTCTTCCTAACTCCACCTAGTTGCCTCTATATGACCAGTGGTGTGAAAGGCTCAAGTTATACAATGGGTGGGATTTTGAACTAGTGGAGATTTGTATGGTCTGGCTCCTGTGCAGTGTGGAATCTCTCTCAAGGTTTTGGGGTTTTTTTAAATACTTTGGATGTTCATCTCTCAGGAATGGGTCAAACATGGTACTTGGGGAAAGAAAGAAAATGGACCAGATACCTCTTCAAGATCTTCAGTCTCAGTATTGATCCCCTTGTTATTAAGGAAATGAGATCTGAAAGTTATAAGGAAACTAATTCATTTCTTCAGCTTCAAAGAAGCCCACTGGTCAGGCATTCAGAAGGCACTGTTTATTTTTATTAAAATTTAATTCCTGATATTAAAAATTAATTGTATGGAGATAAATTTTAAAAGTCAATTTTATTAGTACGTACTCAATCTAATTAAATTTGGAGTGGTATTGTGGCAGGCCATCCCTAAAATGTTTCAGTTTTTGTTGTTGTTGTTTTTAAGGATGAAATCTCTAGAAAGTGACTGGCCTAGAAAGGGTCTTCAGTATAAGATTTTAAAACTTCCATCCAGTGATTCAGATCATTCTTAAAAAAAAAAAAAAGCCTAGCCACAAATTAAAGTGCTCTCTCTAAGAAAGTCTCATTTCTTTCAGATGTTGGATGTTTTCAGATAAAATCAAAAATAATGTAAACCCACTGTTGAGAGATGGCTAATTGCCAGACCTCCTAATGCCTTGCTCTTGGAAGGAGTCAGCCTTCCAAAAGGGCAGAGTTCAGAAAAGCATACAATGAACCTCCTTATTATCGATGTATGTTGCTAGGGGGGAAATGGTTTTAGCATGATTTTTAGGATTGGTAAGAAAGCAGTGGAAGTCTTTTGCTTGAATTACAGCCTAAAGCAGGTATTAACTTACGCAGTTTCACATAAAATCAGAATTGTCCTGACTATACCTGTACCATATACCTGAGGTACTTGCCCTACCCATCACATTCTAAATGTTCTAAGTTCTTTACTGATCTTGAAGTCAGTCAACAAGCATTTACTGACTGCATTGCACTATGCTAAATTCTGGGAATACAAATACAAGCCAAAAGAAAGACAGTCCCTGCCCTCAAGGAGCTTATATTCTAATAGAGACATAAAAGGAAGCTGAAAAGTGGAGAGTGCAGGGAGAAAGAGAAGTGGGGAAATGACAGCCTAAGCAGGTCTTGTTGGGGAAATCCAGAGGAGTTGTTGTTATTTGTCCTTCATTTTCAAAGAGGACCAATGACATCACAGGGTGATGACTTGCATGTGATGAAGCCTGATGGGAAAAGAAGAAATGCTTGGGCAGGGCACCCACTCTAAATGGAGGTTATAGGAAGTGAATCTCAGAATATGATTATTATAGGGCAGTGTTGTCCCAGTTATAAAGATACTCATCCCTGCAGCGGCATGTTGACTTAGGAAACCACAAATTAACATTATCTATGTTATACTATATTTTTATTTATTTTGTCAAACATTTCCTAATTATATTTTGTTCTGGTTCTGGCTACACTTGTTGGTGCTTGAGTTTAACACCTCCTTATAAAGGATTTCTCTTAAAACTTCTTGTTATAATTATACCACTACTGAGGATTCATCTACAACTTTCCAACGCAGGCCATTCCACTTGGCAATATTTCTAATTTTTAGGAATTTTTTTTACATCAAACCTAAAGTTACTTCTTTGTAATTTCCACCCATTGCTTTCAATTCTGCTCCCTGCGATCAAGTAAATCTAATCCCTTTTCCACAAGACAGCCCTTCATATACTCAAAGACAGCAATAATCTCTCCCCTAAATCTTCTCTTTTCTATGCTGAACATTCCCAACCTTCAACTCCTCTGTGTATGGCATGAATTTAAGGCCCTTCACCATCCCAGTTGCTTCTCTGGACATCCTATCAATGTCATTGCTAAAAAAGTAGCCCAAGCCTAAGATTCCAGATGGGATCTGAATAGGCCAATATACAATAAGACCAATATCTCTTTATTCCCAGAAGCTATGACTCTTTGAATGTAACCCAATATAGCATTATCTCTCTTGCTTGCTACAATCACATTATTAATTCATGTTGAGCTTGGATTCCCCCAGTTCTTTTTCAACTTTTTAAAACTCTCAGATCTTTTTTGACTAAACTATCTCTCCTACATGGGAGAGGGATTAGACCACTGTCCATTTAATGAGTTGTTCTATTTGAGCCCAGTGGTATAACTTGGTACAGTGAGTAGAGGTTGCAAAGAAGCAAACTTAGGCTAATTCCTAATACTTGTTCTAATGAGAACCATCCAAAAAGTGAATTGCTGCCTCTGTAAGTAGTGAGTTCCTCTTCAGTGGAAGTCTTCAAGCAAAAGCTAACTTAATTCTTTCCAGCTATGTTGTAGAAAGGATTCTTGTTCAAGTGTGGGTTAGAGTAGAGGGCCAACCCTCTGAGTTTCCTTCTTCCAAGTACTATTCTATAATTCTTTGATTATGTGGAAGCAGGAAACTTAAGGACCATTCCTGGACCCTGTCCCTCTACCATATACCAGAGAGGACAAAAGAACAAATATCTGTATCCTCAGTGTCTAATGCAATATCTTGTATATAGTATGTAATAAATGTTCTTGGTTAATTGATTTTTCTTCAAGTATTTTGGAGAATTTTCAATACCTCCACTCTTTCCTGCTTGCCCTCACACCATTGCAGAGTAGCATTCTAAGTAGGTTCCTACCAGAGTTATGTTGGTACATGTTTAACAACCAGCCTTACAGTTGGGGGGGGGGAGTGAAAGGGGGGATTGTACTCAGGCCATATTTTCAAGTTTTAATTTGCATTATTAACATTTTCTACATCAGTTTCTTTAGTCAGTCAACAAAGCAATAAACCAAGCCCTTATCTGTGGCCCTTGCCAATTTCCAAAATATAAATGTTCATACTGAGAATTTAACAATTGGTTCTTATGAATCAGCTAAAGTTGACTCCAGCACACCCCTAGTTCCTATACTCCCTTCCTGGCAATGCTCCTTCATTTTCCTCAGAGATTCATTATTGCCTTGGGGCAATGAATTTGCTTTCACTGCTATTAAATCATGGTACCTTGTACTAGACAAAACTTTGTTACAATCACTACAGTTGAGTGGTTATAAATAAAGTCAGATTTAAATGTGTCAATTCCTGTAGATGAATGCCATTCGTATCCTATAGTTTAGGTTTCTGTCTGTCCTACATCTATGTGTTTGGTCATAATGAAGACAATGCCATCATCGATCAAATTCTGTTTGGTTGGACCTCATTTATACATTCTGGTGCTTTGCTTCAGAGCTCGCTGGCTTCCCAGGCAATTTCCTTGGCAGATTTCCAAACTGTGATGGTGCAGTACTCTGTCAACAAATGTAAATGCTAACAAACCCTCCATAAGAATGATAGATGCTGTTTTTCCTCCTCTTTCCCTTTAAGTCCATGGCTTGATCTAATTCTTCTTCATAGCTGTATTTTTCTTTTGTTTTATTTCACTCAATGTGACCTCCTTATTATTATTACTATGCATATATTCATTTTGCCTCCCAACAATTGTTACAAGGAAAGTACCCTTGGAGCACACATGAAGGCCTATTTGTTTGCCGTGAGCATAAATAAATGTTCACTGGAAGCAATCTCAGGGTGAGAGCATATATAAGATTAATTTGGCTTCTATTAAGAAAGCACTGTGTTATATATAGATGGAATCTGGCCCCTGGAAAACAAATCAAAGGAAGCATGAATTGGTTCTTCTGTTCCTCAAAGTGTTCATATCTTGTTGCATAATGCATCAATGTTGTCATTTCAGGTAAAGATGGTTTTGCAGCAGGAAGGATTTGGCAGAAAAAAACGCGGGTATAGAGACATTAATGAAATTGACATCAACATGAATGATCCCCTGTTTACAAAGCAGTGGTACCTGGTAAGCCTGTCATTATTTTTTTAGAAGTTTTTCTTCTTGAATCCTTGAGCTCCGGATCTATTTCTATGCTCCTCAGTTTTGTTTGTGATGAATAGCAGCCTGCAGCAGACTTAAAGAAATGTATTTAGTAAAGAGTACAGGTCAGCTTTATTTCATCACCTTCTGGAAATGGTCAGCTTTCCTTCTTGGCTCCCCCTGCCTGGGCCCACTGCTTCTCATACCATGGATCTTTCCCTCAAATATGCTGTTCTTGGAAGCAGTCAAACCATGTTCACTTCATAAGTCCAAAGATAGTACTTATAGCTAAACACAAATCCCTGAAGTCAGTTTTCAGGAGCAAGAAGAGATATGTGTGGGCCTACTTGCACATATTTCTGTGTGTGTGGCTACATATACAATAATGTACATAAGTAAAGAAGTGAAGGAGAGTACTTCCCAGGAGTGGGGAAAAAAAAAGGCAGGGTGAAGCACCCTACAAAATCAGAAGGGAAAGAGCTGCATTAGGTGACATCCCAGGGGTACAAAGAGAGGAACTTGATGACTAAGGAAACATCTATACATGGTATTGGAAACCATCTGGAAAAAAAGAAATTCCATAGGGCTTAACTGCCAAGGAGTTTAAGACATTGAAAACTAGTCTGGCTTGTGACGAATAGTCCTTTTTGAGGATTGTCAGTAGTCCTTTAGGACTCATCTGGCTTGGATTACTTTCTCAAAGAGGGTTAGATGTTTCTAATACCAATCATCAGGGCAAGCCATTAAGGAGAAATGAGCTACTTTAATTTTAAAAGTGTACATGCTGCTTTTCTGAATTTTGTTTTAAGACAGCAAACTGAGAAGAAGGCAAGAGAGAAAATGAAATTGGGCTACCTGGGAGGTAAATCAATAATCTTAGGTTCTAAGTAGGCTCCTAGGCTACCAGAGGTGGTCACTCCCTAAGACAGAATCGAACTCTGGCTGTTCGTTCTCCTCATCCTTGTTCAATTCGATTGGCTAAATATTAATATTTTAGGGAACTTATATGTCACAGTGGATAAAGTACTGGAAGACTTGGTTGCTGATCCTAGCTCAGACACTTACTTACTCTATGACCCTGGGCAAGTCATTTAACCTCTTTGGGCTACAATTTCCTAATCTGTAACAAGAATGGGGCTAGTCTCATTAGGCTCTATGTTCCTTCCAGCTCTGAATCTATGATACTATGATCTTGGCATGGAAGTGACCCTTGGCATTGAAGCAACTCCTTTTGAAGGCTAGACCAGTGAAGAATTAGCTCTGGCTAGTCCTTTGTAACCAGAAAGGCTTCTAATGGGCAAGGTGTCTTTGAAATCAGAAACTCTTGGGCCTAATCATCTGTCTGTCATACAAGTACTAGCCTAGTTAAGATAGGTTTCTAACCAAAGTAGATACAACACAGTAAGTTTTGTTGTTGTTGTTGTTGTTGTTGGTTTTTACCATAGCTACCCTCAAAGACTATTACTAAATCTTAGAGACGTTGCAAATGCATGTGGGAGAAGAGATCACCCACAACAATTAAATCATGGGTTTTAGGTGTTTTGGAGTATATTCAGTGCTGTTTCCAATAAGGAACTCTTCTTCTAGTCATCCAGGTTCACAACCTATGAGTCATCCCAGACTCTTAATTCTCCCTCCCCTAACAGTGTCACATTCTGTGGAGAGGTTTAAAAAATGAGGCTTAAGGAAAAAGTCACTGAATTTGGCAATTAAAAAGTCATCAAGAACTTTCCAAAGGAATAGTTTACCAGCTTACCTTAAAGGTCCATAGAACAGCCAATGCATTACAAGCCTGCCTGAGAGGTGAACTCTGCCAAGGAATAAGGATCATGACTTAGAGGGAAAGCAGAAGTGTGGATTTGGGATCTTGTTGCTTCACATGAGTTTGCACATTAGATCACACAGTAAAACATGTTAGCCACTCCTTCATTCAACAACCATTAAAGCAATGTAGTATTATGGCTAGGAGGACACTGATCTTGGAGTCAAGAAAGCCTGGGTTCAAATCTCACCTACACATTTATGAGCTCTGTGACCTTGGGTGAGTTTTTGCTGTTGTTCAGCTGTTTCAGTCATGTCCGACTCTCCATGACTCCATTTTGGGGTTTTCTCAGCAAAGACTCTGGAGTGGTTCACCATTTCCTTCTCCAGTTCACTTTAGAGATGAGGCAATGGAAGCAAACAGGGTTAAGTGACTTGCCCAGGGTCATACAGCTAGTAAATGTCTGAGGCCAGATTTGTATTCATGAAGATGAGTCTTCCTGATTCCAAGCCCAACACTCTCTCCCCTGCACCACTATCTGCCCCTGGGTAGTTCCCTGATTTTCCTCATCTATACAAGCATTGGACTCAATGGCCTGTAAGGTCCCTTCCAGATTTATAACTGATTCCACAATCCATTTATGAAGTGCCTACTATTTACAAAATGCTGTAGGAGACACAAAAATAAAAAAGATATGCCTTCATGACGTTTACAAGTTAGTAGGTAGGATATGATATATACATAAATATATAACATTATATAATAAACATGTAGAAATCACAATGAGGAAAAGAACACAAAAGCACCATTACAATAAATATGAATTGAAAACTTAGTACTCGACACAAAATAAATAAAGCTATTCTGCTTTTTAATTTGTATATCAGATCAACACTGGACAAGCTGATGGGACTCCAGGACTTGATTTGAATGTGGCTGAAGCCTGGGAGCTAGGGTACACAGGGAAAGGAGTTACCATAGGAATCATGGATGATGGTAAGTATTTCAAAATTCTTATATCGTTTGAGAACATGGATTTGTCCAGGATTATTCTGTAAATATTTAACAACTGACTCCTTGAAAATGCATGCCATGCTTTTAAGCTTCATTTGCACTGTTTGACTTTTCCTCTATCACTTTCTCAAGTCTAGACAATCAATAAATTAAGCCCTGATTTGTAGCATATGCCAATTTCTGAAATGTAAATGCTCACACTGAAAATTGGCTATTGGCTATTGGTTCCTAAGAGTTGTTTGAGGTGGGCTCCAGCATACCCTTGGATTTTTCTGTTTGCTTTTTTTACAATGAAGCTCACCGTAAAAGCATGCCTATTCTTCAAAAGGTGTTAATGAGATACACAGTACAGCACAATGCCTGGAACATGGTAGGCACTTAATAAGTGCTTGTTGACTGACTGACTGACTGACGTCTAAACCATGTTGTCTTTCCATTTTATGACTAAATCCTCATCTTTCTCCAGCCCTTGAAGAAAAGGCATCATTAAAATACAGTTACTCACGTTTCACTTTATCCCCTTTAAATTCAGTATGTGAACCTTGCCACTTCTCCATCAATTCAAGGAGGTAGGACAGGAACAAGACTACCTTCTAAGACTTGTATCATCTCATACCTCATACTGGCATCATTTGGCTGAGGATCCCATATCCCAGAAGTCCCCTGGAAACACTATCTAAAGACCTTCTGCCAAGGTGATCCTAAGTCAACTTGGTAGAAGCTGGCTTTCAGCAAACATCCCCAGAACAAAACTTTCTTAAACCACACCTGGAAAATTCAATGGCAATGAATCTAAACTTCAAAAACAGAACCTGGTCACTTTCCATGACTCTGAGAAACAGAAGCAGAGGACTTTCTTGAAACCTAAGGAAGACAAATAAACCAGAGGTAGAGGGAGGAAAAAAAAGACAAACTGCATTTCCCCCGACAGTCTTTTCACTTTCTTCCTGCCACTATTAGCCATTGTTCTAGCCCATGCTATTGCCCTTTAGATATTTCCATTTTACTTGCTCCATGCCTGAAATTTATGCCCACATGCCAAACCCCATTCATCATCCTTGAGCTCCCTTCCTCATATATTATTATTATCATCACAATCACATAAAGTAACATCTTATACTAGGTTCAAAAAATTAAATTTCACAAGTACCAGATCAAATATGTATGGTTAAGCAGCAGCAGAGCAATTGAAAAAAAAAACTTGGAAGTTTTCAAGCAGCACAAGCTTTATATAATCCAACAAGGAGGTACAATAGCTAAAATTGCTAGTTCAGTGTTAGGCTATGTAACCCAAGTCCCAAAGCCCATTGGTATGAGACTTTCTCCTTATTGGAGGAGATTAATGCCCTGTGTTTGCAGCAGGAGGAGGATCGAGTTGTAAAAGCAGGAGAGAAGAGAGCTCTAGGTTCTTTGAGGGCTCTCCAGTCTCTTTGGCCTCTGCAGTCCTTTCGGGTGCATCTAGCTTCCAACTTTGAGAGAGAGAAAATGGATAATGCCAATCCCACTTCAGATTACTGGAGGGAGAATAAGACTCTGGGAAGAAGCTGACATGAAAGGAGTTACCAGTCTCCATCATGTCCCTATCCCCAGCTTGCTACACTAGAGACTTCAGGGAGGTACCCCTTTGAGTGATCCAGTACTCTCTCTCTCTCTCTCTCTCTCTCTCTCTCTCTCTCTCTCTCTCTCTCTCTCTCTCTCTCTCTCTCTCTCTCTCTCTCTCTCTCTCTCCCTCTCCCTCCCTCCCTCCCTCCCTCCCTCCCTCTCTCTCTGTTACCTTCGAATGGGAGAACTTCTTCAGTCTATATTGTTTGGTATATATTCTCCTATATATACTACATATACTCCTATGTATATAGAGCCCTCATTTCCCATTAAGAAATAGCAATCGAAGTTTAGCTTGAACTTGAAAACCATATCCCCTAGTCTAACAATATTTAATGGAGCAGATAGATATAATTATATGTAATATAATTTTCTCTCTGAAGAGAGCAGAGTGGTCAGCTTCTGGCCCCAACTTCCTGTTTCACTTCCTGGCAGGGAATGAAGTCTCTCTAGAGAAAGGTTAGAACAGAAGAGGCTAGAGATGTCTATTCTGTCTCCCTATGAGCCACACAATGACATCCTCATGTTACACGTAGGCAACAGCCTTCTCTATAGCTACATTAAGACATGTACAGCACTCAGGACTATGGAATCAATAGCCAATCGATCAACTAGCTTTTATTAAGTACCTAAACTATACCAGTTCCATGATGGTTGCTGGGGCGGGTGGAAGAGAAAAAGAATGGAAAAAAAAATGAAACAGCCCTCATTCTCAGGGAGCTTACATTTTATCAGGGTGAAAAGTGTACATATAAATAAATATGAAATATATACAAAGTAATTTCAAGCATCTAGAGGGATCAAGAAAAGCCATACATAGAAGATAATACTTAAGCTTACTTTGAAAGCAGATAAAGAACTATTCTTTTCATTGACAAATCTAATGGCCTTGTCTCAGTCCACATCCTTCCTGACCTCTCTACTGTATTTGATTTTGCTGGATGGAGTAGTCAGGCAAGCAATAAGTGTTTATTATGTGGGTACCTAGTTTACTCCTAGACACCAAATGCTAGGGTTACAAATACAAACCAAAAGAAAGACAGTCCCTGCCCTCAAGGAGCTTACATTGTAAGGGGGTAAGAACATACAAATGGGAGCTGAAAACAGAAAGGGCAGAGGAAGGAGCCGAAGGTAATCATTCCAGGGCATGGTATTGAAGTCCAAAAAGTCAGAAACTCATCTGGGAGATGAAGAAAGGTTGACTGGCCTTGGTCCCTCCCCAAAAATGGAAGCCCTACAAGGAACTGGCCAATGGAAGAAAGGAGCTGGCATGACAGAGGGATGTTCCAGGAGAGAGAATAGCAGGAGAGAATGGATACTCCAGAGCAGGGATACCCCGAGTGCTGAGGAGGTTTGAAGTAAAATTTGTGACTAAGGCATAGTGTTGAAATCCAGAAAGTCCAAAGCACAGCCTGGAGGGAAATTAATGCTGGCCAGCCCGGGACTCTCCCCAAAATGAGGGAGAACTAAGAGTCCAAGACAACTTCTAGTCTGAACCTGTGTGACTACAAGAATGGTGGTGCCTTTAAATGAAATACAGAATTATAGAAGAGCAGTGGATTTGGGAGGAAAGTCAAATTTGGTTTGGGATATATTGAGTTGAAAGCATCTATGGGATATCAAATGGAAAATTTGTAATAACCTACTGCTAGCATAGGCCAGAACAAAGAGAGATGAAAAGTAGATGTATTGTTCTAGGAGTCATTTGCATAGAGAAGACAATCAAATCCATAGAATTTGATACAATCGCTAAGAAAAAGAATGTAGAGAAACAAGGGAAAAGAGCCTTGGGTTATATTCATGGTTGGTGACAGAACATGTCAGCAAAGGACTCTCAGAAAGAGTAGCCAGACAGATAGGAGGAACCAAGAGAGACCAGTGTCATGAAAACCCAAAACAGAGAGAATATCTAGAAGAGGTGGATGAACAGCATCGAATGCTGCAGAGACGATAAGGATAGGAACAGTTAAAGGTCATTGAATTTGGTAATTAATAAATTGCTAACAACTCTGGAGAGTGAAGTTTCAGTTGAGTGATGAGGCAGCCAAGTGATATACTATTTGAAGTGCTAGACCTGGAGTTAGGAAAATCCACATGGAAATGCTGCCTCAGACACTTAATAGCTATGTGACCCTGGACAAATCCCTTTAACTTTTCTCAGTCTGTTGCTTCATCTATAAAATGGGGATAATAATAGCACAGGGTTGTTTTGAGGTTAAATGAGTTAAGATAAAGCACTTTGCAAATATTAAGGTGCTATATAAATGTTAGCTGTGGTGGTGGTGATGATGATGATGATGATGGAAGCCATACTGCAAGGATTAGAAATAGATTGAAATGAAAGGAAGTGGAAACAATGATTATAGATAGCTTTTTTTCTGGAATTTTGCTGTGTAAGGGAGATGAGACACAGGACAATAGCTTGAAAGCATAATAGGGACAAGTGAACTTTTTTTAAGATAGAGGAGAACTAGGCATATTGCTAGGCAGCAGAGAAAGAATAAATAGAAGGAACTTGAAAAATAGAGTGGGAAATGATTGTGGAAAGAGGAAATCTGCTGAAGGGGAAGGGAGGAAATGGGATAAAGGGTACAAGATCTGACATTGATGAAGAAAAGAACTACCACTTCATCAGACACTGGAGCGACATAGGACAGAAAGGGGGACAATGACAAAGAGTTTTCATCTATAGAACGAGGGTATAGCAAGGAAGAAGAGGAAGTTACAGCAAATGTCTTTTCTCTGAGGTGAGATTTTAAATGGAGAGGATAACAGAGAGAAGCTGTGGGAAACTTAAGGAGAGAAGACTTGGAATAACCACTGTAGGAAAAGCCTAACTGCATTACAGAATCAATTACAGAAGAAAGAGTAAACAGATTTTCTTGTTATCAGAGAGGGCCTCATTGAAATCAGATAACATCAATTTATACTGGATCCAGTCAACATGGTTAAATGACTTCACAATTCAATCAGTAACAGGAGCAGGGCAGGCAGATGTTAAGGGCTGGTGAAAGGAAGATCCAACTGTACCTTGCCCCAGTCAGCCCTTACATAAAGTACTGTGTTCAGTTCTGGGCTCCACATTTTAGGAGGGATATTGATAAACCATAGATCATTCAGAGGAGAGCAACAGGATGGTGGAGGGCCTCATGTTCATGCTGTCTGAGAATTTAGAAGGACAATCTGGTATAATGCACAGAGGGCAACCTCAGGATCAGGAAGACCTAACTTTAAGGCCTGGCTATGACATATACAACTGTGACAGTGGCCAAGTCATTTGACCTTGACCTCTCTGTGTATGCCCCAAGACCATTTGCTAAGTTGAAGATACTGGAAACATATAGCCTAGAGAAGGGGTAAGTCTAGACACTTTAAGAGAA